GATTAATAATAGTAAAAATATAGATATTTTTAATAACAAATTAAACAATTTCAAAAAATCTGTATTAGATATATTTTGTAAATAAGGCATTCAAGGCTTAAAATTTAAATTTAAATTTAAATATGTAGGTTAATGAACATTATTTTAATAAAGATTTAATTTTTCAAAATTTTCCACAACATAAGTTCATAAATATAGTATGTTTATAAGTAAGGTTTTAATTATTTGTGCTGTATAATCGTTACCGTTACTTAATATCATGTTGTGTACACATGTTTTGGAATACCATCCAGATTGTAACTTTGTATTTATTATTTTCAATTGTTCATGTTTTGGTGTTATTCTGTTTTGTGTACCTAAATAAATAAATAAATAAATAGATTTTTCTAACGCCTTTAATACCGTTGACCATGATATTCTCATCGCCATCTTGTCTTACATAGGTTTTTCCTTATCATCACGGAATTGGGTCTCCTCCTATCCTCGTGGTCGCCAGCAGGCGATTCATGTCGATGGTATGGTGTCCGATTGGGGTTAATTAACAACTGGTGTTCCGCAAGGTGGAATTCTCTCTCCTTTACTTTTCACTATATTTATTAACATGATCACTTGTAATTTTCGTTCTTCCTACCATATGTATGCTGACGACTTGCAACTCTATGCTCATGCCGATGCTACTTCCATAAATAATGCTGTAACCGTGATTAACTCCGATCTTAACTGGATTTATCAAGAATTACTTAATTGATCAAGAAGGTATGGGGTTGCTGTTAATCCATGCAAATGCCAAGCTATAGTCTTAGGCAGTGCACGTCAATTAGGTAAACTTAATCACACATCGTTCGATCCTCTGATTTATAATGACGAGGTAATTCCTTACAGCTCCCATGTCAGGGACTGGATTAACCTTGGATTGTTCACTTACTTGGCGCAGTCATGTTGAGGAAGTTAGCTGTAAAGTTTGTACTACTTTGAGAAAATTGTACAGATATAAAAATATCTTACCGCCTTGTACGAAGAAACTTCTAATTCAAGCGCTAATTCTTCCTATGTTTGACTATGCTGATGTGTGTTACTTAGATGCAGACAAATACTTGGTCAATAAATTGGATCGGCTTCTCAACAACTGTATCCGTTTCATTTACGGTCTTCGAAAGTATGACCACGTCTCTTTCTATCGCTCTCAACTTAAATGGTTAAATATCCCACAACGCAGGAGCCTTAGAATTCTTAGCACTCTGTTCACTATTCTTAACGATCCATTGGCCCCAGAGTATTTGAAATGTAAGTTTCAATACCTGGGTTCTTCCCATGATTGCAATCTTCGCTCTCGTAACAATCTCGTGCTCCATACTCCCTCTCACCGTACTGGTTTCCTCTCAAACTCTTTCGTTGTTACAGCTGTAAGACTCTGGAATGCGCTTCCCCTAGCAATAAGAAAATCCCCCAACAAGTGGATTTTTAAAACAAAGGTAAAGGAACATTATTTGGGTTCATCTGACACATAAATATATAAATAATCTATAGCATTTAATCTATTATATCTATTGTATATGTTTGTATATACGTGTGTATATGTGTGTGTATGTATGTATATGTATATATGTATGTGTATGTATGTATATATATGTATATATAATTAAGTTTGAGCTATGAGTATATGTGTGTGTGATGTGTGTGTGGGCGGGGGGGGGTATGTGAAATTTATCAATTTTAGGTTTCATCTTAGCCCACTGCAGTACACACATCTCCCACTAACTTTCCGGTTGGCTGGTAGAAAATGCCATATGGCATTAAGTCCGCCGTTTGTACCTTTAGTACAATAAAGTGTAAAAATAAATAAATAAATAAATAAAATAAACAGTACACAATGACAGTAGCTACCCTTTATACAGACGCAGAGCTCCCGAAGATGGTGGCAGGAAAGTTACAATCAAATCTCGCTCTGGAGCGTTCGAAACCTTAGATAACAGCTGGATTGTCCCGTATTCGCCCATTCTATGTAAAATGTTTAATGCCCACATTAATGTAGAAGCATGTAGCTCTGTCCGCGCAATCAAGTATATCTGTAAGTACATAAATAAAGGAAGCGACCAAGCAATATTTAATCTCAGGAGTGAAGGTGAGGTTCCAAATTCCGTTAATGAAGTACAGACATTTCAAGCAGGGCGTTATGTCAGCAGTAACGAGGCAGCGTGGCGTCTCCTTGGCTTCTCTTTACACAAAAGGCACCCAACAGTTACTCACCTTGCTGTGCACTTAGAAAATGGAGAGCGTGTATATTTCACCGAAAGAAATTTCCAAGAAAGAATTGCATCACCGCCAAAAATTACACTAACAGCCTTCTTTCAACTTTGTCAAACCGACCCCTTTGCAAAAACGTTGTTATATTCTGAAGTCCCCCGCTATTATACTTGGAACACATCTAGGAAGGAGTGGAAACGCCGCATTCAAGGCGTGCCTGTTGCAAATTGGCCCGGTACAAAGTCATCAGATGCCCTTGGTCGTGTGTATACCGTCCATGTAACTAATTTTGAAACTGTTTACGATTGCTGCTGCACCATGTTCGGGGTCCTACAGGATATAAAGACCTTAAATCTGTCAACGGTCAGGAATGCGCAACTTATAGAGAAATATGTGAAGCTCTGCATCTTTTAGAAAACGATAATCACTGGAATGAAACCATGGAGGAAGCTGTGCAGTGCCAGTCACCAGCCAAAATTAGGGATCTTTATGCAACTCTCATATCATCTTGCGGGCTATCTAATGCACATGAATTGTGGGACAAATATAAAGAGTACATGGCGGAAGATATTTTGCGAAGCACTTGGAAAAATTGAAGATAAAGTAATGGCAATGGTAGGCAAAAAATTAAGCGACTTTGGAATGATAAGCCCTCAGCGAACAACCAAAAATGAACTAAGTGATGAAATTATACGTGAAACAAACTACGATATACCAGCTTTGCAGCAGCAAGTAGCCGAATTTTTACCACGCTTGCTTCCTAAAAAAAAAAAACGAGTTTTTGACAAAGTATTAGGACAAATTGAATCTGGAAATGGTGCACTTTTCTTTTAGATGCCCCTGAAGGAACTTAGAAGACATTTTTGTTAAATTTATTACTAGCGCAAGTAACGAAAGATAAAAACATTGCTGTGGCCGTAGCTTCCTCTGGTATAGCCGCCACGCTGCTAAGCGGGGGCCGCACTGCACATTCTGTTTTAAAACTCCCTCTAAATCTAGCCCAGGAAGAATCGCTGATCTGCAACTTTAGCAAAAATAGTGCACGAGGTATAATGCTACGACAATGCAAACTTTTAGTGTGGGACGAAAGTACAATGTCGCATAAAAAAGCTGTAGAAGCACTAAATCGAACGCTCCAGGATTTGCGCAGCAATACCGATGTAATGGGAGGAATGGTGGTTTTACTGGCTGGTGACTTTCGCCAAACTTTACCTGTCATTCAAAAGGGCACACCTGCAGATGAAATTAAAGCATGCCTCAAGTCGCCTATTTTATGGAACAAGGTGACAAAATTCAGTTTAACTACGAATATGAGAGTGCATTTGTATAATGATATCAATGCTGGAAACTATGCTGATACACTATTAAAAATTGGCGATGGGCGGTTGGAAACGGATGCTGAGGGCTGCGTTAAATTGACGAGAGATTTTTGTAATTTAGTACAGAGTCATTCCGAATTAATTGCGAGCGTTTATTCAGATTTAACGAACAACATACATGAAGACAAATGGTTATGTGAAAGGGCGATTCTTGCACCAAAAAATGAGAGCGTTAACAAAATAAATTCAGATATATTAAGCGAAGTAGCAGGAGAAATAACAGAGTATTTGTCAGTAGACACAGTTACGGACACAGAACAGAGCACTTCATATACCATAGAGTTTCGTTAAGAGAATTCTCACATAAGCTTCAATTAAAATTAGGCATCCCAATCATGCTAATGCGAAATTTAGATGCTCCTCGGTTATGTAACATGTCCCGTAGGCTGCGTGTGACACATCTTGGACGGAACATAATCGGTGCTACAATTTTGACAGGTGTAGGAAAAGGTGAAAATGTTATTATACCACGGATCGCTATAATTCCCACAGATCTTCCTTTTCAATTCAAAAGGTTGCAGTTCCTTATTAAGCTCAGTTTTGCAATGACAATAAAGCGCAAGGGTAAACGTTACAGGTAGCGGGGGTCAACTTAGAAAAACAGTGCTTCTCTATGGTCAGCTGTATGTAGTATGTTCGCGTGCGTCAAATGCCCAGAATCTCCACATTCTTTCCCCGAATGGAAAAATATATAACACTGTGTACAGTAGCGTCTTAAAATAGTGTTCAGTTAGTTTTTTTTCCAAAATTCCCACAATCAATTAATCAGAATTCCCACAGATCTTCCCTTTCAATTCAAAATTTCCTATTTAGCTCAATTTCTTTTCAATTCCAAATGCTGCACCTCTGACGGACCTATTAAGCTCAGTTTCCTTTCAACTCAAAAGGCTGCATCTTTGACGGATCTTTTATTTGGCTCAGTTTCCTTTCAATTCAGAAAACTGCATCTCTGACGAATCAATTTAGCTCAGTTTATTTTCATAAGTCTGCATCCCTGACGGATAATTATGCTCAGTTTCCTTTAATTAAAAAATATCCCATTTCCATTTGGAATAAACAGGCTATTTTCTTGCTTTCCTATACGCTGCGTTTCAAAACATTTAAATAGGCTGACCAATCAATTTTGCTCAGTTTCCTTTTAATGGCTGCATCTCTGACAAATCTATAAAACTCAGTTTTCTTTCAATTCAAAAAGCAATGGATAGTTCATTTCTCAGTGACCATGCGGGCGAAGCCGCGGGTAACAGCTAGTATACAATATATACTTCGTACGGTACATCAAAATGATCCTTGTTTTTCAAATATCCCGAATAATGATGAGTTGAAAATTAAAGATACAAATATGTAAAAAAGTTAATTTAAAAAAAAATTATGTACCTGGCAGCGAACTGATCTTCAGGTTCGTCTTCAAGGTCTGTCTCTGAAGCATTGGGATCAAGCGGCTGAGTCTCGCCCGGTGGCTGTGCCTCGACAATTGTGTCACCCAGAAACCGCGGCCGCGCACTCAGCTCCTGTAAAACATATATACATAACAATATTTAAAGTTTGTCGATATTAGAATCCCTTAACCGGATCGTGACGAAAGACCATCGCTTGATCAGGCGTTTACTCAACTAAATTAGTACAGAAAATCGGCTCGTGAACGTGTTTAGTGGTAACATCTATCAATTATTATCATAATTATCTATCAATTACATTAAAGACTAGCGACCTGCCCCAGTTTCAACTCGATAGGATCTATTAATGTGGCGTTATTTACATTTGAGATCGTCAAAGGCCATTTATTTTATCAATTTTTCGTATTTTTCAAAAAAAAAAGTCTTCAAGGTTTTTAGATAAAATATAGCCAAGATCCTACCTCACTGCCTGCTCTCAGCCTGTTTTTAAATACATATGTAGGGGACTCTCGTACATTTCACACAAACATACAATCACACAATCACATACACAGGCATTTACACTATACACCCTTCGTATCAGCTGGCCGACGTTTCGTAGGATCAATTACGCGCGACGTCGTCGATACAATAGCATATTTGGTAACAGATATTGAAAATAGATGCAAGACCATATATGATAATATTGTGAGGCAGTGGTTGCGGGCGGTATTAAAACACCACCCCCTTTACCGATCGGCCAATCGCTTACGTGCTTCGACGCGGAAAGATCGTCGCTTTTTCTCGCTATCCAAAATTATTTACGTGTGCCATCTCTGTTAATTTATTATCTTGTTTTTAGTTTATCTCTATCTCTGTACTTCTTCCTTATTGTCAAACTTACGTTGCATTCTACTTCTGTCTATTTATTTCGGTGTGACTTTATATTGTGTGTGAACATTAAATCGCGAGTGTTAGAACAGAACTACCTTTTACTTGTACACCTCCTATGCACACCTAACAGTCATCACCCCCTCTACACATAGTTACATAATACATAGTTCTGAAATATTTTTGGCCATAATGTTTTATATGTAACCACCCCTGAAAGACATAGAAGTTTCCACGCAATCGGTTGGCATACGTAAATAAACTTTTTTTAAAGAATACTAGCAGCGCTTATAACGCTACAAATATTTGTCTACTGTCTACTACTACTACTACTGTCATTTGAGAAGATATGCATCTAGTATACAACCTCTTGTTTGAACTCGGTTAAATTTACTAAGTTACTAGTATCCGATCTGTGGTTAAATGTCTATTATCAATTTTTATCTCTCACTGGTATCGTTGCGTTGTTCTCTAGAGCATTGTTAGGCAATTCGAGGCCGTTTTTAAATCGACTACATTCGATCGAAAAAATACAAAGAAAAATAAAATAACCATTATACCGAAGCTATTGCAAAGAGCCGTTTTTCACATAGTCATAGAAGTTTTATGGGTTGTGTTATGGGTAAGGCGCAGTAAAGCTTGAATGGGGCAAAAATTTAGCATACGATGTAGTAACGTAGATGAATGGAAACGCCGGCACCGTTCACACTCTCTAGTATATAGTCAGTAATCTATGGTTCACACGCTATTGATATTACGACTGCGAGGCTGCGCTCGCGCTCCTCGCGACGGTTCGCGTGCTCTTTCGTTCTCAAGTTATTTCAAAATAAATGGACCGTCAAGGTGTTTGCAATGTCTGCATTTATTTATAACTGGCTGTATGTATCTGCATAGCTGACATTAATATACAAAGTGTTTAAACATCTTCAATTATTTTACCACTAGAAGTATCTCACAACATCGAATTTCTTTCTCTCTTTTTGAAATTAAAAAAGTAAACGTCATTTCAAAAAATGTTAAATCCAACGCCATTAAATACTTGCTGTTCTTAATTACTATATTCATAATATTTGATGAAATATAAAAACACATTATGTTTATTAATTGATAATAAAATAAAATTTATTCTATTATTTAACACTTAGGAAATCTGGCAGACTAGTTTTAGAACGTATGCCAAAAACTACATTTTTCCAAAGGGTTGTTACGCGATGAGTATAAAGATTTTTAATAAACTACCGATAAACATAAAAGAAGAGAAGAAAATTGGTAGATTTAAAATCAAACTTAAAAATTGGCTTTTAATTGGCATTTGCTATTATTAAAATGCATAAATGCACTTTAATAATAGCAAATGTTAAACACTTTTTAAATGAATAGAATCGCGTTACCTACGAGTACCTCCTCGTACCTCGTATACTTGACTTAGCCATATTTTAAACATTATTTTTATTTAATCTTCTGTAGAATAATTACTCCTTCGACATTTTTTTCCTATATTTTGTTTAAATTTTATTTGTCTAGTAATAAAATAATAATGATGGACATGAAAACTGACTTGCTTGCTTGTATGGAAATAATGATTCAATATATTATGTTATATGTTTTCGCATGCCGGATGTGTTAATATGTGGACTATGTACGAATATTTGTCATCAAGAAGTTAGCGAATAAATGATATTATTATTATTTTGGATTACGAATAGAGTATTCTCATCTGGATGAGCTGAATATATAAAAGGAAATGATAAATATTCATTAATATATATTTAATATAGGTACTAACATAAATAAATAAATAATACATAAATAAATAAAAGCCCAACCAGATGGAAGCCCTAGGCAGGGGAGACCAAACGGCTGAGGGTCAGGGGGGAAAGAGAATAAAACCGGCGAACGATGCGGGCGGTATCGAGGAGTCTTCTGCATTTGAGTCCGGAGCGGTCCGTCACGAAACCAGTCACCTTAGATGAGAGGCTGACTGGGATTAGCCCGTTAGCAGAGACGACTATAGGAATAATTTCGGTCGACAGGCCACCCCACAAGTCGGTCACCTCGTAAGCCAGGTCCAGATATTTGCTTTTCTTGTCTGTTTCAGCTTTCATGAGGTTCTCGTCATACGGAATGGTAATGTCGACCAAAAATATCTTTTGCTCTGCCCAGTCCATCCGCACAATATCGGGCTTATGTGCAAGAAGAGTCAAGAAGAGAGATCTCTGATGATGGTCTGGTCCCAGTAGAGCCTGGCGCGTTCATTTTCGAGCACGACACCCGGTAAGTACTTATAATAAGGCAGTTTCCGCTCCACGAGGCCGTATTTCAGAGCGAGCTCCTGGTGTAAAATCCTGGCTACTTAGTCATGCCCGTGCAAGTAATCAGAGTTAAAAAGCGCCAAACAACCAGAGATGACATGCCTAAGTGACTCACCGGGATGACGACAAACTCGACAGATTTCGACGAAGCTATCCATTAGAATATATTTCCGATAGTTGTTGGACTTAATAACCTGATCCTGTATTGCACAGACAAAATCCTCAGTTTCCCCGAAGAGGTCAGCGAAACGTAGCCCGTTGAGGGAGGCCTTGTATAACCTCCCGTGGAGCTTCTTCTTCTTCCATACGGTCTCGCGGTCAGAAATGCTATTAACTGCCGGGTCCTGACATTGTTCGTTGGCTAAGGATAGTGGGGTTTCTTTATTACAAGAAATGACATCATTATAGAAAGAATCATCCGATCTCGCCAGGAAGTAATTACGGAGGCTGCACACTTCACGATTATGCATGGTGAGCGCGCTTAAAATACCACGCCCACCATGCTTTCGCGGCAAGTACAGCCTCATTACCGACGATCTCGGATGATGCATTCTATGGGACGTCATGGCAGTGCGAACTTTTCTATCCAAGACGTTAAGTTTAGTCCACATGAGTATGCCATTAGGACATTATACATTAGGACAGGCATGACCCAACCGTTATATGCGTGTATCTTATTCACACCGGACAAAAGGCTGTTAAGCACTTTGATCAAGCGTGCATAAAACACGTCGCAAATTGACTGCTTTATACTCGCCTCATCGATTCCGATGTTCTGTGATATACCCAGGTATCGGTATGCTAAGGTATTTCAGCCTCAGAAAGAGTCCTTAAGTTATCGGGCATAGATGCCCTCAGAGTTAGTAACCTTTCCCCTTTCAACATGGAGGACCACACAGTTATCCGTCCATTCTAATAGAATTGCTAAATTCACAGTGATGTTTAGCAATTACATAAGGTGCGAGCGTATGGAAGCGAATATTTTGAGTACTCCAATTAGAAAAGGTAGGTCACTTTTGTACCTCTTTCCGAAGCTGGAATCCCCTCCCGGAGCCCCCAGTAAGGTACTGAGAGGGTTGAAGAAGAGGCAAAACGAGAGTGAACTCAATCAGTCGGAAGATACTCCTTAATATTATGCGGTTCTCCGCAAATGTTATCCGCACGCCTAAATGACAAAGGAACGTACTCCACTGCCCCATACACTGCCCGAAGCAGTCTCTAACTGTACAGTCAACCTTGTACAGCTCGAGGACCCTCTTTAGCCAGGTGTGGGGTACAAAGTCGAATTACTTTCTGAAGTCTATCCAGGTGGCGGAGAAGTTCCGACGGTTGCGCTTAATCATTTCGCCAATGACCGCGTCAATTAGGAGTGATTCCTTGGTTTCACGACCACCGTCCATACATACACTTTGAGCGCGTGACGTCACCTGATTTTTGTCCAGGTGACGAGTGATTCTCGCGCACAAAATGAATATCAGTGTCTTGTATATGGTGGGTAGACACGTGCTGGCGGTATTTGCTCGGCTCTATGGTATTCTGATCTTTAGGAATCAAGTGAGTGGTCCCAGTAGTGAAGAGGCTCGGGAGTGACTTCTGTTCGAGAGCCTCTTGAAACAGTCGGGCGAGCACAGCGTGATACACCACAAACCCGTTTAGCCAGTAGTGATGCAGTCTGCCGAGTCCCGGACTCTTCCAGTTCGGGGCCCTACGAACCGCCTCAGCCACGTTTTCCGGCGTTATGACGACAGGGTACATGGGCGTAGTACTCGCAACGTGGCTCGCCACAACTTCCATCCAAGGGCCCTCGCTGTGGCTTATAGGCCCTGACCATAGGTCACGCCAGAATGCCATAGTGTCGGCCTGATCCGATGTTGTGCCGTTCCACATACCATTTGTCGTTCTAATGATTTATAGAGTCGCTTCTGATCACTC